AAAAAAAAAAAAAAAACATAGATTGGTATTCATCACCCATTTTCCCCCTTCTAGTTGCATTATAGCGAGTACTTATGATTAGTGGTTGCAAAATGGATAACAAAAATATTTATTCATGAATATTATTAGCTAAAAAATTGATTGGATAATGAATTTTTTAAAAATAGGTCAAATATGGATAACCAATGGATAACTAAGGAATTTAACTTTTATATTTACAAAGACTCAAATTAGAGCTTCCTCAAGTTTGGAACACTAGGAATTCTCCAAAAGGTGATCATATTTAAGAAGCCATGGATAATATGAATATCCATATTATCCGTCGATTAACCTATTTTCTATCCGTATTGAATATGAGTTTGATTGAACATTTTATTCGTTTTTCAATACCCGTTTTCAATCGGCTCATATATGATCCGACCCCTCAGTTTGCCACCCCAGTTTTGATCATCAAACCCATAGTCTAAGTTTCTCTCACAGTAACACTAGGCATCACTTCAAACTCCACAAAATAATCTCTCCACTTGAAATTTTCCAATTTAAATCATTCGCTAGTTTATGTTAGTGCTTTTTGTGTCATATCAACAAAAAGGGACGAGAAGATAAAACAACATTAATTAAGCAAAGAGTCAGCCCCAAGTGCATATAGTGACCCACCATTATTGATAGTATTCACTCTCAGATGAAGTAACTCTTGAAAACCGTGTTAGTAGGATCATCTTTAGTACTTAGTGCATATAATTAAGTTAATCATTTTTCCTTTATTTAATGAAAATATAAGATGAATAGTTCCGATTTGTAGCACCTAGTGGCCTAAATTTCATATCAAATCTGCAAGTTCCGATTAGTAGCACCCATTTGGACATGAATTTTGACCATTTTTTTTATAGAAAAAAAAAACAAATCGAAAACATTGTTTGTTCATATAATTTAATCAGTTTTTGAAAATAATTTGAATTAAAATGTTAAGTTAATTTTTCACTCACAAAACTTTAATTTTTTCAAATAAAATACATATCCAATCACAACTTCAATTTTTCAAAACTATTTTTCAACACAATTTTAAAAACTATTGTTTGAAATTTCAACCAAATTTACTTCGAAACGCTAACTTTAAACAGATGATTAGACACAATTACTTGGGGGTAAAAAAAGACAAGGTTTATCTCGAATAGAATTCGACGAGTTGCATTTTGCCAGACATATTATTTTGGAAAGATTCTTGATTGATAATTAAAAAATAGAAAGAATATAAAAGATAAATTTCCTTGATTTTTTGTTTGGTCATAAACATATTTCAAATGAGTGATTGTAAGGAAAAAGGCATTATTGGAAGGGAAGTGTGAATGTGATGCCTTTCACTTTCCAACAAAAAGTAAGAAAAAGATACTTTTACTTGGATGTTGGATGTCCAACTTCAACTTTAATTTATTTCAAAGTGGGGACAGAGGCGACAATGACTAAAAAGATTAATTTAATCTTGTAAAGGTGGTTAAGGCCTCATTTGTTTTTTTAAGATTAAGACATCTGAATCTGAATACACATCTGAATATCAAGATGTGTATTGAGATTAAGACATCTGAATTTGAATGCACATTTGAATATATTAAGATGTATATTAAGATCTGAATAGAAATAATTAAGACCGTTTGATTTTTAACATCTGAATGTATAAAATTTATCTTTATTTGAAAATTAATAAACATAAAATTCAAATGAAATACTAACTAATATAATATTCTATCAATAAAATATATAATTTTCTTAAAATATAATAGTTGTTGGTGGTGATGGCTAACGGGTGAATGTCGAGTAGAGGCGGTGCTAGGTGGTAGTTTTGGTTGATGATGGTGGTTCATGCTAGTAGCTAGTAGTGATTGGTAGCGGTGGCGATTATGATTGAGGATGGTGGTGGTGGGTGGTGATAGTTAATAATGGCGGGTGGTGGTAATAGTTGTGACTGAGGAAGGTGGTGGGTGGGTGGTGGTAGGTTATAAGACGGGCAGTACTGGCTGTGGTTGTTGATGGTGATGGGGTGGTAAGTTGTGGTAGTTGAGGTGGATAAGTGTTGATTGTGGGTGAGAATGATGGTGGCCGGAGTGGTGGGGATAGTGGGTGGTGATGGTTGATAATGGTGGCGGATATGATTGAGGATGATGATGGCGTGGTGGTGGTGGTGCGGGTGGTGGTGGTAGTTGAGTGTGGTGGTGGTGGCATGGTGGTAGTTGATAATGGTAGGCGGTGGTGGCATGGTGGTAGTTGATAATGGTAGGCGGTGGTGGCAGTTAATAATGAATATGTGATAGCATCTTAATGAAATTAAGTCTCTGTTATAGATCTTAATCATACAGACCTATTCAGACCCATTAAGTGGTTGTGATGTAAAAAAAACAAACACACTTAATGATTAGGATCTGAATAATTAAGATCCAGACTTTAAAAACAAACGCATTTAATGTCTGAGATCTAAATGATTAAAATTCAGACCTCTATTAAGTGCAAACAAATGAGACCTAAGTAACCAAATGTTATCGCCAATCACCACCAACCAAAAGTCAAACTCAAATGTTCATTTAACCCGCAGCCAGAACAAGATAACTTAAACAAAATTCAAATAGCTTTGATGGGTTTTAATAGTTGAAGGCTGACAGGAAAATTGTCGTGCTTTTGGCATGCATAAAAGGTGTC